TTTTTTTCCCCTTTTTCCTTTTTTCCCTTTTCCCTTTTTTCCCCTTTTCCCATTTCCCTTTCTTCCCTTTTTCCTTTTTTTCCCTTTTCCCTTTTCCCTTTTTTCCCTTTTCCCTTTTCTCTTCCCTTCCCTTCCCTTCTTTCTTCCCTCCCCTTCTTTCTTCACTTCCCTTTTTCCTTCCCTTTCCTTCCCAGGCTATCTATCCCTCAGCTGAAGAGGTCATTAGGAGGCTACTGGCACTGCCTTTTCCATGATACCCCTTCATAGCTCAAGAGAAGCTGCACCTGAGACATGTACCCCCCAAGGCCCACATGTCCAGAGGTGCCTCCCACCATCCAGACCCCTGGAAAAATCCCACATTCTTGCATTGTTGTGGCATCTTTAGAAATAATCTGCTTCTAGGTTAGCCCCGGCAGCTTTTAAATGTTCCATTTGTGTGCCAAAGCTTTTATACATGTAGAAACATTTATCTACCCTCCCCCCTATGTGTGTGTATGCTAAGATACACATTATCAGGTTCTTGGTATCTTTTATTATTTTTTGTTCTCCTTCATGATTTTTAGAAAATGTAGAAAGTGCAGAGGTGAAAAAGAACAACTGAGGGTTGGCCCTTGGTTGTATCTGTTATGATCCACTCCCACACATACATACACACTCTAGTGAAATAATTTTGTGTTTTTTTAAAGTGAAGATATAATAACGGTACTGAATAACTTATTCCCCTGCTTAATTGAGTCACCCACCATTTCCCTTCAGATCTATTTCCCTCACACCTTCCTTATTTTTCAACAGGGTGCAAGAGAAGAGAGTGTCCACCTTGTACGGCATTTCTATAAGGTACTTGGCAGCACAGGTGGATAGTAACATGGGATATCTGTCTCTCATGGAGTATAGGGTGGTGGGGTCTAGTCCTATACAAAAACGTCCTGGTGTGTGGAGGGGCATATGTGCACATGTGCCCCTCATGTGCACACATGTGTAAGTATGTGCATTCTATGGTATACATAGAGAGGTTAGAGAAGAACTTTGAGGAGTTGGTATACTCCTTTCAATGTGGAATCTGAGGATCAAACTTGGGTCATCAGAATTACCTGCTGAGTCGTTTTGTCAGCCCCTTGGCTACTTTTTATACTTGTGACTACTGGGCGCTAGTGCTCAATCCCACAGTCTCCAGGGCTATGGCCTCGGAACTTTACATGCTTTCCTACAAGAACCATAAATTGCCTGAGGACTTACTGCTAGTTCATGGCAATTTGTTTATCAGTTACTCATAAATTTTCTGTAGTTTATGGGATTATATGTGTGACAAAGTCATAGATTCATGAGTCATGTAGCCTAAAATCATGAATCCCCCATGATTTTATCGGTTATATACATGTGTAATGTCTGTAAACATGCATGCTAAGAACCCTCGTGCAGGCATTTGAAGAACTGTCTTGAGTTTACTGAGATGACCTTCTGGATCTGAGTGAGGGTTTAAGACCTGTATTTTCAGGTTCCAGGTGATTACTGTAAGAGATCCATTTATAACATTTCATGGCTTTTGTTTGCCTCTGACCTTAACGTCTGTTTTAGTATAGTTGGGCTGCTATGAGAAAATGTTATCAGCAGCAGTCTTTTCAGAGACTGGGAAGTCCAAGATTAAGGCAGATTTGATGTTTTGTGAGGGGCCTCTCTCACTCCATGTCCTCACACAGTGATTGAGTTTGTGGTGACTCAGAGCTGTAGTGGATCCATCACATGGATTCATCCTAGTGATCTCAGTTTGTGCTTTCTGCAGGTCCTCCTGGCCCTGGTTCCCCTGAACAAAGCTCAGACAGCTCCTGTTGTGGGGAGGTGGAAGCACTGTCCTTGCTGAAACTGCTGGTGCTGGGTGCTACCTGCCACCATTGCTGTCGGTTTTAGTGGAGCTACAGCCCAATCTTGTAATCTAGAACTCTATCTTGCCAGGTCCAGGTGACCTTCTCCGGCTGCAGTTGTGGACACGCCCAGACAAAGGGGCATCACTGTGGGCCACCACACCCTAGAAAGGAAATCCCAGCTGCCCTTCAGATAGCCATACTTGGCCTTTGAGCAAGAACATTCCCCTCAAGTCAGCCCAGAAGTCAGCCTGGTCCCCTTTGGACCTCTTTCCCTTATAACTGCTGGAAATCTGTCTGTTCCTTGAAAGCTTTGATGTTGTAAACACAGAAAGGCACAGAGTAGCCATTTTCCAGAAGCTGCCTCCTGGTCCCAGGCAGAAGGAAAGCTGTATTTGCATTTTATTTCAGCCCAGAGAGACAGGATGGTTCTGACTCTATTCATAACACAAGGCAATGGCAGCACTGACAGCTCCCAAGCCCCAGCTGAGAGGCAGGCTCTGGAGCTGTGCATTTTCTGTGCATTATTTTGCCTTTACAATGAGTGGCCTAGCTTGATGCACATTGGCTCCAGCCTGATCTTCTCTGCCATACAACATCTTTTGCCATCCCATTCTTACAGTGATTCAGGTGGTGCTGTATCGTGCCCAAGGTGGAATCCTGTGAAGTTATTGCCCCTAGCAACCAAACCTCAAGACTTTCCTCAAAAACAAATGGAGCTAGCCATATTTAATCTTAGTACTAAGTGTTGGTAGTTGTGCCCTCCCTGCCCAGGTATGGGCCTCACATGTTTAACATGGTGACTTAACCAGTATTGCCCACTTTTTCAATGATTTTGAGGAGTAAATCATGTTAAGCACTCACATTGTTAACCTTGTCTACGTTTTAATTATATGTTACGTTATTTATTGTGCTGTTCTGACAGAAGAAGTGCTAGCTCAGTGTACTTTCAAAAAGGAGGAAAATGTTTAGCAGTGCCATTTGATATTTGGCCTTTTTGTCTGTACATGTGTGTTCACATTCACATTTGTGTTTTGCTTTCTGGTGACTTGTAAGGACTTGTAATGAAAAACAGATGGCCTCCAAAGCCAAGAGCAACATTTATAAGGCTGTGTTTATGGCAGCAGGAGTAAGCCTCTCTTCAGTTCTTCCTTTCTTTGCAGGGAGAAGAGATTTTTTTGGACATGTTTGAAGATGAGTACAGGAGCATGACAGTAAGTACCGGGCCAGAACATATGGAGGCTAGCACATTCCTTCATGCCTGTCAAATCTGCAGAGGGCTCTGTCTCATCTGGGGCTTTCTGTGGCAAAGATTGTTAGGGAGGTGAATTTGATTGCCACCACTGAAACTTCAGATTATATTCATTCCTGTGCCGCTGAAGTGTTTAATGCTCCCTAACTGTATGCCTTTGGGCAGGATTCTTAATTCTGAACCTGGCTGTCTGTCATCTGTGAAGTGGGGCCCATACCTCTGAGTTGCCCCAGGCAGAAGTGAAATACCCAGCAACAAGCTTCATGTTGGATCATTGTGGAAAAGTACATATGTCTGCTTCCTGGGGTTTTTTTTTTTTTTTCCGCTTATTTTACTCCAGTGTTTATGGTATGTCCTGAACAATGTTTAACATTCTCCAGAAATAATAAAGTGACACACCCTAGGCCCTGCAGCTGACATTAGTCCTCAGCTGGGCCTTAGGAAACCGGCCTCTTGCCAGCAGAGATGGGACAGACCTTAATGCTGCTCCAGTGCTGCACAAAGTGATGGCACTGTGTCTGTAAGGTAGTCAGAGTCACTGGGTATCAGTAAAGAAAGGGGTCCCTTATTGAGGACTGGCTGGGTGCTAGAAAAGAACATGTTGTATATATTGAGTCTGACACAAAACACAGTTCTCACTTTACAAATGTAAGTGACCATACCCCACATGTTTTGCAAAGGATTGGTTTCATGTAATCACAGAACAAAATAAAATCATAAATCTAGGCATTTTTCAAATGCATCGTCGAGAACATCAGGTAGCAGGTTACAGCAAAGTTGGGGAAGTCTCTTTCATAAGTCTCAGGTATTGCCTAAAGACATTCTTAACTCTGAAGTGGGCAGAATCTGGTGCTATGTGAGATGAACACAGTCCAAAAAGTTAAACCTGAAAGTCACAAAACGTGTGCTTAGACAGAGGTGAGTAAGGAATGGCCACCAAGGGAGCTAAAGACAGAGGATGACAGTTTGGCTTCAAACCTGCAACATTTCAGTTCTCCCCAACCAAGAAGTCCTAGCCAATCTGCTTTGTAGAATCTTCAACATAGGAATTGCTGTTTTGTTTTTGTTTTTGTTTTCCTGCCCTGGGAACTTTAATCCACAGTCTTTGCCTATGGAAGAATCATTGCCATTGTCTCCTTTGTGCAAATGAGGAAAATGGGAATCAGGGACTCTGAGTAATGTCCTTAAGTCTGTCCAACCGGCTGTGGCAGAGCCAGGCTTTCATGGCAGAGTAGTCCGCTCTGCTGCTTCTCTAGAGCAATAAGCATGGGTGGGGTGCCCCTTCAATCTCTGCCTCTCCCTGGAGCACAGAGGACAGAGGAAGATGACAGCTTCCTATTTTGTTTGTCTCTCTGCACCCCCAGAATCAGCCCTTACATAGCACTCAATAAATAATGATAAGTGGTCTTTTTCATAGACATAACTCACCAAAGCATGAAGTGATGGGGACATTTATAATGAACCTAAGTGTTTAAAGTGTCAGAAAGAAAAAGGCAGGCAGCACAGCTAAGTGGCTCTCTGGCTTCCAAGCCTGTCTTCAGGGCTCTGGCAGGAGGATCCTCACCTCATCTTTGTCATTGCCTGCCACCCCTCCCCTCCCCAGGCATCCGTGGAATGTTTTCAAGGTCATCCTTCCTTGTGACATATTGGTTGCCATGACTGTGTCTGGACCTTATTGGCCCACACAGCCTGTGTCATGCTTAGGAGAGCAGCTTGTATTTTTTTCCCTTCAGACCATCTATTACAGAGGGAGCATCCATAGATATTCAACTTTTCCCTCCCCTAGAGCAGACTCCCCACCACCACCACCACCACCACCACGGAGTGTGATCCTCCACAGTCTCCCTTTCAGCTTGGAAATGTAAACTCTCCATGTTATTTATGATTTGGAAATGCTGGGGCTTCTAAGCGCCTGTGGTGTCTGCTTTTCTTGCTCCCTAACTGTGTAACCCTCGGCAGGTTTCTTACATTCTGAGCCTGGCTGTTTGTCATCTAGGCAGTGGGGCCTGTACCTCTGAGTTGCCCCAGCCAAATGTGAAGTACCCAGCAACAGCCTAAACAAAAAATGTGTTCCCTTCCCATCATCCCACCCCACAGGAAGCTTCCTGGGGTTTGCTTATTTTACTCCAGTGTTTATGGCCTGTTCTGCTGCACAAAGCTTAACATTCTCCAGAAATACTAAGGGGACACACCCCAATCCCTGCAACTGAAGTCAATCCTCAGCTGTCTCTAGGAAATTGGCCTGAATGCTGATCTTGGACTGGAGGAGGCAGGCTGAAACTAGGCCTCCAAGTTTGACTGTCACACATTCCTTAACCACTCAGGTTTATTGCTAAAGGAATAATGGGCCATGAGGCTCACTGCTGTCTCCTGCTCCCATGGCAGAATGGAAAGAATTCCCTAGAAAAGGTTCTGGCATTGTAGGAACAGTTACAGCCAATGTGTACTGTGAGAAGGCCCTGCAGGAAAGCCAGAGCCAAGATCAGCCTGGAGTGGGAACATGGCTCTGCCACCCTGCTCTGGAATACAGGAAAAAGGGACTCAGGCCTCTGGAAAACAGTGTTTACTATGTCCTACAAGGAAGGCAGCCAGCCAGCACAAGGTGGTCAGGAGGCCCTTTGGCTTAAATGAAGAGGAAAGCCGCAACTTAGAAAATGAAAAAGGCCTGCCACTCATCCAGCAAGCTAGTGGCCTCTGTCTAACCCAGAGATGGCCCTCATTTGTGGCCCAAGTACAGGAGGGCCCTCTCTGAGGCTTCCTGTGCTGTCTCTCCTAGATAAAGCCTATGAATGTAGAGTATCTGATGATGGATGCATCTATCCTCCTGCCCCCAACGGGCACTCCACTGACTGGCATTGACTTTGTGAAGCGGCTGCCATGTGGTGATGTGGAAAAGACGAGACGGGTGAGTAAGTAATCTGTCCTCTCCTGGGCCATAGGGAGGAGGCTTCTAGATCAGTTAAAGACTGCCTACAATATGTGCCTAACAGCTGTAAAGAGTACCACCCCACATGAACCTACATGACTTTCCAAAGCCTCTTGCCCTTGGAAATGGGGGATTGGGATTCTGTGGCAGCTGGCACTTCTGCAGGCTGCTGTCAGACCACCATCCAGGGCAGAGTGGGGCCAAAACCCGGGATGGAAGCCAGGCCAAGCTTCTTTGAAGCATGGGGGAGCAGAGCCTAGGAACATCTAGTACAGAGACGGTGGGTGAGAACCTGCTCTGAGGTCTCAGAACCCCAGGCAGCACGCTGGCAATGTGTCTGGTAGTGAGAGGATGATGCTGGCTGGGCAGGAGGCAGGAGAGCATGTGCTGAGCCAAGTTCTTAGAAGCAGCAGAGGGTGATCCCCTTATCAGCACTTTTTTCTGAAGCGACCACTCTAGGAAGCAGCCTCAGAAGGCTCTTCACAGTATTTTATCTCCTGCGTAAGATCTCGGTTTCTTTCTTAGAAAGCAACGCTGCCTTTTCCTAGAAAATCATTCCCTGGAGACATTAAGATGAATGGATAATTTAGAGGCATTCATGACAGCTCCCAGGCTAACTACCACATCTCCCTTGGTCTGCTTGTGGCTAGAGCAGCAGAGGGTTTTCACTTTGGGATTCAGAAAGCAAGTGGCATAAAGTGGTGTGTGGCATCTGTGACCTCCTCCACCCTGCTGGCACTTTTAACCATGTGCTCAGAGGCTACAGAGGAAGTGGGGATTTTATATCTTCAAGCAGCACACATACCCAAGCCCCCAGAGAAAACCACAGACTCCTGCAGGTTGTCCTCTGACCTCCACACAACAGAAATCCTTTTTTTTTTTTTTTTTTTTAATCTTAAGTACAAGATCAAAATACCAAAAGTGCCCCTGAGTCATGCCAGCCAAGAAGAGACATCACGTTGTAGTAAAAGTCATGCGAGTTCTTGGGGTCCAGGGAGAGACTGAATGAAGCAGATCTTGGATTTACCCCTACATTATGTAGGGGCAGTTGGAAGAAGTGGCTAAGAAAGAATACAAGTTCCTGAGTCACAGAGGCTAAGCCCCATTAGCTATGTGACCTTAAGAGCATCACTTCACCTCCCTGAGCCTCAATTTCCTCCTGTGCCCCCTCAGCTCTACCCACAGTAGCTGACAGTATGGCTGTAAAGTCTCTGGCAGGATGTTGGTGTGACAGCAGTGGAGTATTCTGCTGGCTTAGATGAGCAAGAGAGGCTTCATTCAGGGACTCTGCTGGCTTGGTGCAGAGAAGAGCCAGCAGGGGGCTCTGGCTAATGTTAAAGTCTGAATTGAAGCTCTCTGGGAAGCCATCACTAGGGATGGGACTGGGGTCCTGGACATGATCAGCAAGTGCTCTGCTTTTTCTAAATTTTGTTGAGACAGTGTCTCATTAAGTGGCCCAGGCTGACTTCAAGCTAATGATACCTCAGCCTCCCAGGTATCGTAGATTTCAGATATGTGTCCCCACATTCTAATTCCATGTTCCCAGGAAAGGACAGCTGGGTTAGTCACTATTGACCTTGAGGACTTTGCTTCATTCTTTTGCTGTGGGTTAGCCATTAAAGAAATCTCGGTCATATCTCACCATTTTGAAAGGAAGGAAATTTTTTCCATATATCAACACTTTAGAGGCGTCTTTTGCTTCCCATTCCACTTTATCTAACAAATTCGTCCTCTTATGATGGCACAGGGTGTCTTTGCCATGCTGTCGCTTTCATCTTCCATTTTTCTCTCTTCACTGTAGTATAGGTTTTTTTTGTTTTTTTTTTTTTGTGATAGTGGTTTTTACAGCTCTGGATATGCTTCCCAGAGCCTCTTGCATGCTACCAGTGACTTTACCCCCAGCCCAAGGATAACAGTGAATTTCTGATCCTCCTTCCTCTATTGCCCAAGGGCAGGGATCATAGGCAAAACTGACTTAGAGTTGTAATTGACTTCTTAGGGCTGCATCAAGGTTTTCTTTTCCAGGAGCCCTTTGCCATAGTTCCCATAGGTTTTACCATTAGTCAGAGTTTGGAGTATTTCCACTATAATCCACTTTTTTCCAGCTAAACCATAAGAGGTGCTTCATAAACACAGTGTTTTCTTTCTTTTGAATTATTTCTTTAGGAGAAGTTCCCAGAAGCAGAATTTCTGTTTCAAAGGGTATGGATTTTTTTGTTTTGTTTTGTTTTGTTTTACATCTCTAACATCACCACCTAACTTTCTCTCTGGTCTGAAACCACATCAAACTGCTTCTATCCTATTTTCAGGATGACTGACTTTTCACAGCTATTTCCATGGCCTTGGTGGGCTTCTAACCTGAATAACTGTCACCAAACACAGCAGCTTGCAAATACGGCAAGGAAGCAGGCAGAGGTGAACTGAATGCTTGTCCCAGTACCAGCCTAGGGCTCAAACTACTACCTATATGCCATGGTGCGCCCTCCCCAGGGACTCTTCATGTATCCCTCCCCACAGTGGTAGCCCAGACTCAGGGAATTCCTATGCTCACTCAGCCCCAGTTGGAGCTGAGATTCTTGTGACTCCAGACCTTCCTTTCCAAAGCCTCTGCATGCTCTGGTTCTCCGGGTACCGAATGTGACTAAGGTTTGCTTCCAGGCTCATGGGAGCCAAGAAATGCAAATTTCTTCTTCATGTTAGAACTTGGTCAACTGCCTTCTCTTTCAAAATTTGGTCTTCTGCCTTCCAATGAAAGGCATTGTTTCTTATTCCTTTTGACTACAGTTCAAATTTTGTATCTTGATTTAGCAAAGAAAAGAAGAGCACTTGATAAAACCTTGGGTCCTGAGCCCTGACTACTTTGAAGGCCAACTCTTGGTGGGGGTTTGAGAGGAGCACTACACAGAGAAACACACACACGCAGAGAGAAACAAAATAAAAAGAGGCCCAAATGTGATGACAGCCCATGGTACCGCACAGTGCTAAATAGCTGAGTGGTGAGAGGGAATTGGTAATATCTCCAGGGTGATGGCATAAAATGGTTATGGTGTAGGACAGCATGCCTGCCGGCCCCTCCAGCTGCTGTGGGAGCCCACTTCTGCCATGAGGAGTCCCCTGCCCTGTGGGACTCACCTCTTTCTGTTCTTAGATGTGGGCTTCTTGTATATATGGCTTTCCCCTAAAAGTTGGTATTTGAAATGGTATTTGAAATGGTTATATTCTGTTTTATCTTTTAAATGACTTTAAAATAATTCCTGGAAATATCTTCCATTCAACATTTGCAGAACAAAAGCAGATGTTTTACCAAAAGGCCTACATTAAAAGCCAATTCCCAGCTCATACATTCCTTGGAGAGCCTCAGTCTTCCGAGGCATGGGCTACAGAAAGCAGCCTTTGCTTGTTTTCTCGATCCAGCCATGGCCTTGCTGGGGGTCTTTGCTATCAGAACCTTGAGAGCAATGGACTTGACAATCCAATGTCTTTCCCGTGACTGGGACAGGCCTGCAGTAGGGCCTTTCCTTCCCTTCTCCTCATCCATAAAGCTGTAACTGCTTACTTGAGAGCTCTAGCTGCCAGATAGTCCTAGTGACACAGGCTGGCATAGGGATTGCATTTCCTGGTATGCTGGGCTGTGTCAGTGTGTACCTGACGTTAGAGTCTCGGCTCAGCCCCTTAGCAGCTGTGTGGGCCAAGCTCATTCTGCCCCCTCAGCACTCATTCTTGTTCCTGTAGTCTTAAATTTACAAAATAAGACCCTTAAAGCCCAGCACATGGTAGATAGATAGGAGTGCTTGATTTTTTTTTTTTTTTAATAGAACCACACCTCTGTTTCTTCCAGTTGGTGCAGATGCCTCTATGAAGGCTAGACTTTAAAATCTGCTCAGGACATTCGGGTTGGATCTTCATGGCACCTTCATAGTGGGAAGGCCGCCTGTACTTCCTATTTACTCAAAAGGCTGTGTTCCTTCAGATGAGGACAAGGCTGTGGAGTGCTCTCGAAGTTTCTACATGAGGAGCCTGCTCCAAGGCAGGATCAGGACTTTGGTAGCTAATTAGAGATACTCATTGCCTGGGCCACTAGGATGCATTTACCCTCCAGCCCCTTGAAGGGAAGAATTTGTCCCTTCTCCTTTTTGGAAAGTTCCCTTCTAGATAAAGGGTTTCTTCCCTTGACGTAAACCAGGACTATCACTGTCTTTGCTATAAACAGGCGTTCATCTGTGTGAAGCCACAGTGGTTTGCCCTGACATTTCTTTATGTTGGTAGTGATATCTATCAAGGGCCTACGTGACCACCCCTTTCTGTAGGTCTGTGCTGGCTGTGCCCTCCAGCCTTGTCTCAGGACTGCAGCATAGCCAGAGAGTTAGGAATTACTGTGACTTGTCCACCACAGTGGGGTGGGGGCAGTGCTGACCTTGACTGCATGCCTCTGAATCTGTGTTCCCTGTTGTGGGGGTGAGACTGGAAGTGCCCTCACCTGTGGCTTTCCCTGTGCTTCTGGGCTGTTGGTGGCAAGTTTGTTTCTGGAGCTGAGGGCTGCTTCTGCAAAGATGTCCCTGATAGCTGCTGATGTGGCCTTTTCTCTGCTCTCAGGACATGCCTGGTGGCCACACTGGATGCTGACAGACCCCTTTTCCATGGGTCAGGGACGCTTGTGCTGACAAGCTGTCTCTGTCCCTGAGATGAGCTAGGAAAGCCTGAGGGGCTCACAGGACATTGTTGTCCATTGGCCAGTATCAGGCCTAACCTGTCTATCACACTTCTCTCCCTAAAACCAAGGCCCAAGAGGTAGAAGACTTTCAGTGGGAGTTGGGCTTGCAGTGAGGCCAGCCAGATCTAGAGCCTGCATATATGCTACTCTTACTAGATAGGACTGACACACAGGCTGGTGATTTCTGTCTGTCAGCTCATTTGGAGTGGCAGGAAGGTTGAAGCCCTTCCTGGACATGCTGCCTTGGGCAGTAGTCCTCACCTCTTTGAGTCTTGGCTATTTGCTGGCTGTGGAACGGGCAAGCTAGCAGGCAGAAGATCTGGGATAAAAGTCAAATGACCCATGGTGACAGGTCCTGGCAATTGCAGTTGCCCAGTGAAGTGAGCCAGGCTTGAACCTGTTGGGGACTGAAGCAGGCTGCTCCCCTGAAGTGTCATCTTGCTATGACAGCTCCACAGTGCTTCAAAGGCTGGCCTGCTTGTTCTCTCTTTCCTCTCCATTTAACTAAGAGTGACTATGCAATGCCTTCGTCCAGGGCATATCGCCAAAACACCCCTGAAACTCCACTCTCCTCTGCTCTCTGCTCTATCCAGGCCATCCGGGTGTTCTTTATGCTACGTTCCCTGTCACTGCAGCTGCGCGGGGAACCTGAGACCCAGTTGCCACTGACTCGGGAGGAGGACCTGATCAAAACAGATGATGTCTTGGATCTGAGTGAGTTGGCCATCCTGTCTTGCACCGGTGGGCCAGGGGATATAGCACACTACTCTGTTAGCCACCTGCTGCAGGGCTGAGAGTGTACACAGCATGCAGTCTGTACTGCCATTGACCCGTGCTAAAAGGCCAGTGCTGGGCTGCAGGAGGCCCAGTGAGTGGACCCTCACTGACATGGTAAGAATAGTACTGACTTTCTGGTGGTGTGGATTAGAGGGTTCCTGAGTCCAGTGGAAAGAAGATTCTCTTGATACCAAAAGGAAGCCCGTAAAAAACAAGCCATCAAAATGAAAAGACACAACAAACCCAAAATCAAGTCAGGAGTGTTTAGGTAAGAATGAGGGCTTTGCAAATCAGAAAACTGTGTGCTCAGCTTATAATCTTGAGCTATGTATTGACCATTGTCTTAGTGAGGGTTTCTTTTGCTGTGATAAAACATCATGAACAAACACAACTTGGATATGTTTTGCTTACGCTTCCATATCACAGTTGGTCATCGAAGGAAGTCAGGGCAGAACTTCAAAGCAAGAACCCAGAGGCAGGAACAGAAGCAGAAGCCATGGAGGAGTGCTGTTCGTTGCCTTGTTTGTTTCTCATGGCTTGCTTTTTTATACAGCACAGGTCCACCTGCCACAGCACCACCCACAATGAGCTTGACAATCCCAATTCAACTGTTAACCAAGAGACTACCTGACAGGCATGACCACAGGCCCATCTTGTAAAGGCATTTTCTCAATTAAGGTTTCTTCTTATAGCCTGTTGTCAAGTTGATAAAAAAAAAATAATAATAATCAGGACACCATCATTCATTGCTTCAAATTCCCTCTGCTATATAAGATGACATTTATTTTATTTAATTTTTGAGACAGAGTATCTCTGAATAAGCCAGACTAGCCTTGAACTGATATTATTTTGCCTCATCTCCAAAGTTCTGGGATTACAAGTGTGTGTCTCCATGGCCAGTTTATAAAAGATTTAAAAGAGACAGTGGTATTCCCAGAACCCTTCTCATGCTCGTATGGCATTCTCTTCCCTCCATTTGCCACGGGCACGTGCACCTCAAGGACACAGGTTTTCTATATGTTAGAGCATTTTTTTTAAGATCTATTTTTGCTGTTTTTAATTATGTGTGTATAGGTGGAAGATGGGGGTAGGGATAATGAGTGCAAGTGTCCTGGAGGCCAGAGGTGTCAGATCCCTTGGAGTTACAAGCAGGAGCCATCATGTGGGTGTCAGGAACAGAAGTTAGACCCTCTGTAAGAGCAGCAAGCCCAGTTATCTAAGGAGCCATCTCTCCAGCCCTGTGTTAGGAGTCTAACCAGCCTGGCAATGGGAAAAGAAAGGGAGCTAGTAAAGGGAGCTGGCTGATAGCTTTTAAAAGGCTAAAAGTAGTTTTGTCTTCAGACATGGCTGAATCTGGGTGTTCAAACAGTCAGTGGAACGCTGTCCCTTGCCATCTCTTGACTCTGCTTTCCTCTTTTCCCCAGCTAGTAGAAAGATGGCCACCATTAGCCCCAAGATTTTTATCAGCTAAGTCGCCCTGACAGAATTAACTAGAAAAGTCTGAAGTCGAAGTCGGCTTTCAGTAGCCCAGACTGGACACTGGAGCTGTCCTCAAGCCATGCAATTGTCAGAGGAATGTCGGGAACCTCTGCTAAGGGCATGGGGTTAACTCTGGACCCTAAGTGTGAGGAAGGAGACCCAAAGAGGATAATCCTGAAGGAGAGGTAATGGCTAGGCAGACAGAAGCAGCAGGTGCCACTCCATAGTCCAATTGTTCAAAACCATCTTTTCTGAGGCATAATTATATAGAATAAATTCCAACCTTCAGAGTATATACATCAGTCAGTTTTGACAAAAACATAAGCTATATAACCAGCTCTCATGACTAAACCACTGAGTGCTAGCTTTCAAGCCAGCTCTCCCCTACTTTTCCTCCTCTACTGCAGACTCTGTTTTTCCTCCTGTAAAATGGGGATGGTTGCCACGTAGTGGTAGTACACACCTTTAATCCCAGCACAGCAGCACACTTTTAATCCCAGGCAGAGGCAGATGGATCTCTGTGAGTTAAAAGCCACTCTGATCTATACATAGAGTTCTAGGTCAGCCAGGGCTACACAGAGAAACCCCATCTCAAAAACAAAAAATAAATAAATAAACAAACAAATGAGATGGGGGCACTTGCAGGCAAAGGAAAGCACTTTTTCACAGGGCTCCATACTACTCGAGGAGGAAAAAGACAGAGAAGTACTCTGCCTGGCTTTGGTGACTTTGCTTTGCTTTTTATGTCATGAAAACCACAGCCTAGGGCTAGCCTGAGAAGCCAGTGGCCCAGCACATCAGAGACCTTGTTCCTACAGAGGGCCATGGTGCCCAGTGTGGCCCTTCACTGAGTGACCAAGTTGCAGAAAACTACCTTACTGGCTTGTTTTTCTCTTCCTAGCATTCCTTTTGTTTGTGCTTTTTTTTATGTTAGAGAAATTTAAATATATATATATATATATATATATATATATATATATATATATGACCCTCTTTGCCTGTCTTCTTTGACCCTTCACCCTGAAAAATGGCCATAGTGATTTCTGTAATGCTAGAATTGATCGAGTTGGCTGAAGAGAATCAGGACTAGTCTCTCTCTGATTTGATCTATGCAGAGAGGGAGACAGCTCTCTTCAATGTTATATCCGTGAAATGGAATTAAATTTTATGCTGGGAATTCACATTCCTTTTCTCCTTCCCCTAGGAAGGGCCCTGCTGAAATAAAGGTTAAAAGTATTTCACTTATCAATTTAATTGATTACTTGCTAGTTGAGATCACTTAACTGAGCCTTTTTGGGTAGTTGGCCATTAAGAAAGTAATGGCTGGCTGGCTCTACCCAGCCTGATTACAAATTATGTCTTTTGCTAAATAGGATGACATTCAGAAAACTCAGAGCAACAGGGATTTAAAAACATGGTGCTACTTTTGTTATTGTTGTTTGTTTGTTATTTTGGTGATTGTAATGTTAAAGGAGATTATCAGACTTCAAAGTACACAAAAGATTTCTGTAAAGCTGGAGTAGGTGAGTGATGGCTGAGTGATTGGAAGCGTGGTGTGTTTCTTCTTCATGAAAAACTTGGAAAACATGAAAAACTGATTCTAGGAGAGAGGTTTGGACTGGTGCATTTTATCTTCCATGATATGGTCTGGTGGGCTTGAAGAAATGCTAGCTTTACACAGCAGGAAACATGACATACCAAGTATCTATTACTTCACTGCGCTGATAGAAAAACCTCCTTGGAGAGCACTAGCAGCCAGACCAGAGTTTGCTGCCAAGTATGGTCACACTGCCGGTGGCCTCCACCCCTGAGCATCAAAGGTGTGCTCATACTCTGGCTCTGCCCTACCTTTATTCTCCTCAGTAGGGATTACCATGGGCAGAGGTCATGAGCTGTTTGCTGTATCTGCTGAGTGAAGAGAGAACAGAAAAGGAAAGAGACTCGGGGAATAGCATTCTGACTCACCAACCTCCAGGACGAAGTCTCACCGTTAATACTGAATTTGTAATGTCTGTCCAAGTCTTTTCTTTTACAGTGGGCCTGCACCCAGCATGCATTAATTGTCATGGCTTCTCTAGACTTCTGTAGTAGATAAGGACCTGAAGTATTCTTAGTTGAACAAGTGGCTGCCATTTTGCAAACCCCAAGACACCAGGGTACCAGCTGCTGTTTGGGTTAGAGGTAGAACTGCAGTCCTCTGCTTTTAGTCTGCTTTACTGACCTCATAGGCAGACCCTGGTAGAGCCAGCAGCTATGTGACCTACAACCACCGTAGTATATGCTTTTTTATTTATGTGAGACAGGGTTTCATTAAGTAACCCAAGCTGGCCTGGAATCCACCTTGTAATCACAGCTGCCCTTTGAACTCCAGGCAGTTCCTCCTGTCTTAGCTACTCAAGTGCTAGAATTATAGGTTTGAGCCACCATACCAAATGTATTCTGACTTTTAAAATCCATCCATGAAGTCCGTTCAGTGAAAGACTGGTTAATGAAGATCCTTTCATCTTTTCAGGTGTTTCTTGAGTACATACTATATGTCAGACACAGTACTAGGAACTAGACTATGATCATGTCACAATATAGCATGCTTAGAACAATGCTGGCACAATGTCAATGGTGGGGAGGCTATTTAGGAGGCAATGGCATAGGTCTCCTAGGTGGCGTACCTACAGGTTCAGTGTTTTGTGAGTGACTGGCAGAGGTATAGATTGACTCTGGGGATCTGACTTCGGGACAGTTCACATGGCAGGGACTGGTAGATAGTGACTCAGCAGGTCATCAGGACGAGCAGGCCCTATAGAGGAGCCAGGTCCCTGTAGCAGATGAGATATGTGGTAAGGGAGCACAAAGAAATGTATGGCAATTAGATAGCTCTCCACAGCCACTCTGTACATGGTTCCATATACTTCAGAGAAGGGGGCAGGAGCCTGGATCCTATTCTATGGGGCCAGGGGTTGTAAAGAACTACCCCTTGGGCACTGGAAATTTCCACCTTTGCCTGGTAGAACTCTGCAGCACATGCTAGAGCCCCTGAGTGCAAGGTTCCTGATGTGGAGATATGCTCTCTGGGGTCTGAGGTCTGGAAAGTATCATCCTCCTATAGACTCTAGGGTTCCATGACCCAGGACAGCATTACAACAGAACAATACAAGACATAGCTTCTGAGGACAGGATGGCAACCTTTTTTTTTTTTCTTTTAAACCAAGCTTTTTTTTTTTTTTTTTTTTTTTTTAAACAAAGCACTATGGCTGGGCACAGTGCTGTGCCCCTTATCCTCACTGCTTGGGGTGCTGAGTCAGGAAGATGCTTGAACACGAGAAATCAAGGCTCCCTGGGCAAATGGGAGTATTTGTCTCAGGGGGAAATGAGTTTATTTGTTTTGATTCAGAAGCACTTGTGAACTGTCATTTATAAAAGGATGCTGTAAATACCAGGAAAATGGGTAGAGTATATTCACA